AGTGAAGGCAGATGGGCCAGTTTTTCTCAGTCATAGTCAGGAGGGCAATCACCAGAGTTCCTGGACTCCTGTGACAAGAATGCACTGCTTCCCTTGCTTATGAATGAATATGCTATGCTTTAATGCTTTTTTTCAGAGTACCAGCTTGTTAGACCAGGATTCAGGAAATTAGGGCCCAGAGGCTAATCTGGCTTACACTGTTTTCATACAGCTAATGAGCAAAGATGGCCTTGACATTTTTATGTGGTTGAAAAAAAAGGGTAATAATACTTAAGGACATGAGAATTATGTGGAATTCAAATGACAGCATTCACGGGTTTTATAGGAACAGTCATGCTTATTCATTTACCTATTGTCTATAACTCTACTACAATGACAAGGGTAATTACAATAGACTGTAAGTCTCACAAAGCTTAAAATACTCTCTGGCCCTTTATATAAAATTAGATGCCCAGTGCACAAAATTTGTGCGGTGGGGGGGACGGAGGTGTCCCCGAGCCCGGCCTGCACACTCCACTCTGGGACTCCTCGAGGGATGTCCGACTACTGGTGGGATTGGGCCTAAACCGGCAGTCGGACATCCCTTTTGCAATCTGGGACCACTGATTCCTAACTACTCACCTGCCTGCCTGCCTGATCACCCCTAACCACTCTGCATGCATGCCTGATGCCCCTAACTGCTCCCCTGTCTGCCTGATCGCCCCTAACTGCCTCTGCCTGCCGGCCTGATCGCCCCTAATGCCCTCCCCTGCCAGCCGGGTTGCCCCTAACTGCCCTTCCCTGCTGGCCCCTAACCACCTCTGCCTCAGCCCCTGGCACCATGGCTTTGTCTGGAAGGATGTCCGGTCTAATTAGCATATTACCCTTTTATTAGTATAGATGTTTGCCAACCCCTGGTTTAGACATGTATCTTCACCGATTTACAATCTTCAAAATAATCTCTGAAGACTGGGTGCCAAGATTATTGATAGGGTTTGCAGGGCCTTACCAAGACATACTTTTGTTAGTCTGGGAAGATTGTTTCTCTGTGACTCATTCTTAAGGAAGTGCTTCATGAAGCCAGGAAGCAAATTCTAGGTGGACACATTTATGCACTTGAATATTGGTGAATGTTATGAGACAATAATGGGGAACGCTTTTACTCTAGGGCAGTGGTTCTCATTCCTAGTTATATTAGGAACCAAGGAGCTTTAAAACCTAATGAAACCAAAATTGCTAAGGGTGAAGCCTGGGCATTAAAATCCAAAAACCTCCCCTGGTGATTATAATAAATTTGGCAGCACTCACATGTGATTCAAAGCTGGGTTCTAAGACTATCCTCCAGGTTTCTGTGATCCTTTCTCTAACCAAATAACCCTAGCCTGGAATGGAACCTTCCTATGAAAAAAGGCAGAATCTGCATTTTAGTTTCTATTGGGACCAGTAGAGGTCACTGTGCTCAGAGAAATAGTCATCTGGAAAAAAAGTTACTGTTCTGTTTAGGATATTTGGAGCAGTATTTACCAGAACTATTGGGTTATGCCCAACACCAATGCTACTCCAGGCATGGCCTCTGGTCATAATTATTGCTTCTATTAGGTGCATATATAACAATTGTTAAA